ATAATATTATTAAATTATATAGTAATAGTAATAAAATAAAAAATAGTACTATTAATTTATAAATGATGTTAAATAGTATTATTATTATATAGGAATCTCTCTTACATTTTTTAAATAATTCTTAATAACTAAAATTTGAGATTTTATTTTTGAATATGTATTTTATATTATATCATATATTATTTAACATTAACGATACACCAAGAAAACTCTAAGCTTTTACAAAAAAATCTGCAAAAAAGAGTTTTTTTATACCGTGCTATTAAATAATTGAGATTGTCGAAATCTAATAATTTTTAATTATTATAGCCTGCTTTGTTATACGTTTACAATATTTGAGATGTGATATCTTGATATTTTTGCGAAATATTATTCATAAAACAAAAATTTATTTTATTTTTAATTTTGTACTATACTCTATTAAATATTACTTTTGTGTAAGTAATAAAAAAATATTACTGTTATTTTTTAGTAATAAAGTCTTATTTTAATTCTTTAAAAGAGATATTTACCTTAATTTTTTTAAAACCATGTAATATATAAGAAGTTTTTATAAATTAATTTAAGTTTTTATATAATAATATATTGGATTTTGCTTTCTCATAGAGAAAGCTTTGTTTTTTAAATAATGTATCTAATGTGTTTTTCTGCAATATGGAAAAAAAAGAGTATTTAAGATGTTCTGTTAAACCATATTTTTAGCAATTTTACTTTGCAAACATGTTTTTAAAAATGAGGAATCTCAGATTAAATAACATAAAACTAAAAGTTATATTTATCCCAGATTTTTGCGCATATTTTTTACATTGCACAAATTTGATTTGTATTATAATTATTTCATGGGATGAAGTATCTGAATCATAATGTGTTACTGAACGCAGCTCTGAAATCATTATACAGTAAGTAATAAGATTCTAATATTTTATATCAGTTTAAAATTTCTTACTGCACTTGAAGATTTTATGAGTATAAAATTAAGATATATTTTTTAACTTAAATATTAATTTTATCGATTTGTTTTCTTGATATAATTCGGATTAATTATTATTAATTATAATTATAATTTATTATAATATTTCTCCTGCCTATATGATCCCATATTTTTTGGATAATGCAATAATGACTATCATCTGACGCATCGCGTGGAATGACTAAAATAAAAGTGAAATGCACTAAGTTACTTTCTGATTATATATTTATAATCCGTATTTTTTTCTTTATTTTCAGAACTCAAAATTGGAGGTTCAAGAATCATCCGGAAAATGTTGCTATAGAAAGGCAAGATCAAGGTGCATCTTTCGTTATTTTTCAAGACATTGATGACAAAACTATTCTTGTTCAAGAGATAGCCGCATATCATTGTGATTCGTGCAACGAAGATTTCGATACAGAGGCCAGTTTGATAGTACATAGAACGGAGCAATCGATACTTAGAACTCGGGAAGCGTTACGTCAAGCAGAAAAGAAATACGAGTGTGACATTTGCGGAGAAACATTTTCAAGAAAACTACAATTGATCAAGCATCGTCGGATGCGATGCAAGTATCCTCTAGATACGCAGAAGAAGCAGGAATGGAAAGATACAATCACGAAAATCAAGAAAAATCGGCAAGAAAATAAGGAATTGTTAGCGGGTCCTATTGAATGCGACGAGTGTCATAAGATATTCAAGAAGAAGAGATATTTGAATGTGCATAAAACGTTGCACGGTGCGCCTCATATTTGTCATGTGTGCGGTGCGAAGTTGACGTCGGAATATTATCTAAAGATTCACATCAGGCGACATAATAAGGAATTCACGGAGTTTTGTAAGGTTTGTAATAAGGGTTTCTATTTGAAAGCGACCTTAAAGACCCATATGAGCGTGCACACCGACGAGAAGCCCTGCACTTGCGAGATCTGTCATAAATCCTTCGGCAATCGAGTTTACCTTCGTAGCCACATGAAGATTCATAGTCTGCCCGAGATGAGGAAAAAATACAAATGCGAGATATGTAACTTCGAAACATTTTATAGCTACTGTTACAAAGAGCATATGTGGACTCACACTGGCGAAAGTCAAGTGGCATGCGAAGTATGTGGCAAGCTAATCAGACGACAGTACATGAAGACTCATATTAGGATACATACTGGCGAGAAACCAGAGATTTGTGAGTTTTGTGGCAAAGCGTTTAGCGCCAGAAAGTATCTGATTAAACATCGGCGGACACATACCGGCGAGAAACCTTACAAGTGTAAAATCTGTGAGAAACGTTTTACTCAACGTGGCACACTTAGTGCACATCTTCGAAGACACGAGAATATTAAATGATTTTCCTTTCTTTTTTTTTTATTTCTCTTTTCTTAAAAATGTGTTACCAAACGCCTTTCATAACAATAACTCTTCATATTTATACAAAGTGTTGATTGACATTTCATATAATATTATGTGTTGTTATATATATATATATAACTCTAATTCATTATGAAAAGAATTATTTCAATAGCACAATTACACTTTCATTATTTTACTTTATTATTGCAGTGTTTGTTATTTGATATGTGCCATGTAGTTGCGATAATTGCATAAATTGATAATAATAATACAAGTACTAAACCTTCTGTTTTAAGACAAACTGCATGAGAATATGAACTTAGTTATTAAGAGTTATATTTTAAAAATTAAAAATTGTTTTATTTCTTCTTTTCTTTTTAGAAGCAGCATGCGAAAGATTATCATTGTAAAGTATAAAGAAATTATTAAATTTTATTAATATAATATATCTTTTTTTATTTATTCTATTGATTATCTTTCAATGTAATATTTATCTGCATGATTTAGTCTTAAAATTTTCACACATATATTATTATATTTAATACATTGCTTGTGATTAAGGAACATTTGTCTTTTCTGTGTATAATCAGAATATTAATTACATAATCAAAACACATTTTTTCAATGCGGATGCAATATAATGCAATATTGTATATTATGTATATATTCCAATAAATTTATCTATATACGTTCTTTACTCTTTATTCCGTTATAATTTTTATAATGTTTTCTATTTTCCTTATCTTGGCTTATTTACTTTAAAGTTGATCCAAATGTAGAAATAAATAAAGTTTGTAATTTTGTAAATATATAGAAAAATGAAAAAATATATCTTTACAATATAGTAGAATTTTAAATAATAGCAGGGTTTTTATAATTTAGTTTTAGTATAATAATTAGTCAACACATAAATCACATACGAACAATGTTCGGATAATAGCAGTGTCTAATAAAATTATTACACCAACAGGAATCGTGTATTACTTGAATTGAGTAAACAAATATTATTTCGATATAAAGAGTATAAAGTGTGTGATAAGCACGTATAATATATAAAAAGAAAAACAATTTTTACTTAAATTTTATTAAACAAAAGTTTATAATATTTGGCCTTGTAAAAAGGTATGTGATGATACATGACTAAAATTTTCTGAAACAATTCAAAGATTGTTGCAATATTTGATATCTTGAGAGATAGTTTCGAGAGAAACATATTGCACTAATCGATTCAGGATATAGAAATCAAAAGTCAGTGCAGTCAATCAAAAAGTAATCACGAATCATCAAATCAAAGCAGTGACAATCACAGTTGATTGACAGTCTCGATTGATTTGAAATGTATATAAGGTGCATTCTTTGTAAGATTTATCAAGAGTGTAAAAGAGTCTTGCCTGTGTTAGCTCAAGCAAATCGGTTGTGTATTAAGAGGACTGTATTTATTCTATACACGTACTTCCTCACGCGTTGTTGACGAATATTATTTATTACAGGTGCATCGTGATCGACATAGAAAGCACAAAGCTGGAACCGATCGACGAGTTGCAAGATATACAGTTAGCGCGATATCAGGACGAAATATCTACCGTGGAAGAATATCATATCGGTCATCAAGAAATAGTTACGGAAACGATCGAATATACGGCTGATGATTCTAACGATAAACTGGAAGAGCCTGCAACGGATAAAGTAGATGTTATAAAACAATTTTCTGAACACGAGACGAGTCGCAAATGTGCGACGATCTACGAGTGTGAAATTTGTGGGAAGCAAATGCTCAAGAAGCTGCAGTTTTTAAAACACAGACAGGATCACAAGAGGAATCCGAAGACAGAGGATCGTTGCGAGGAATGCGATAAGGTCTTCGCGAATGAGGAGAAGCTACGAAAACATTTGATAAAGGCACATCAGAAGGAGAAACCATTTCAATGCGTTTTATGCGGCAAATGTTTCAAGACTGAGGAATTCTTGAAGATCCATCTGAAACAGCATAATAAACGGTTTACCTGCGATATATGCGGTATCTCAAAGGTCTCCGGATACGATCTGCGTCTTCACAAGAAAAAGCACAATCAGGAATACGTGACTCATTGCGAGATGTGCGGCAAGGGTTTCTATACGAATCAGACATTGGAACGTCACTTGCTTACGCACACCGGCGAGAAACCGTTTATTTGTAAAATATGTAACATTGCGTATGCGAGCGCAGCCTATCTCAACATGCATATGAAGTCCCACGGCGAGAGAGAGAAACACAAATGCAATATCTGCAATTTCGAGAGTTACTGGAAGGCCGCGTTAAAAGTGCATCTTAAGATACACACGGGCGAGAATCAGATCACGTGCGAAATATGCGGCAAATCAGTGAGCAGCAAAACGTATCTGCAGATTCATATGCGTATACACTCGGGTGAGAAACCGCACGTTTGCGAGGTGTGCGGCAAGGCGTTCAGTGTACGAAAGTACTTGATCGTACATCTGAGAACGCACACTGGCGAGAGACCTTATGAGTGTAAGGTGTGTCAGAAAAGATTTACACAGCAGGGTTCGTTAAATTCGCATATAAAATCTCATAATGAGAGTAAATGAATATAACATTTTTCGACTTCTATTTAATTAAGCGTGGGCTTTTGATCTCCAATTTAATTTGTCTGATATGATGAATGCATCTTAAATATTATTATGTAACTGAAAATTAAGTATAATAATTATGACGTTATAATAGTTATGACGTTAAAAGGGCATAAGTGCAAATCTTATACATATATATTAGATCTTTTTTTATAACTGAAAATAAATTGTGTGTGTTATATATCATCTCAATTATCAAATGATGAACTCAATCCGTGCAATTTGTGGAAACATTTTTGTCGAACAAAGTGTACGTACAATAAATTAATTTTTCATTAGAGATGTGAGACTGATAGTAATTATAAAAAAAGAAATGAACACATTATGCAAATAACATTAAAACTTAAAAATTATTTTATACACAAATATATTCCTATTTTGTAAAATGTGTTTCAAATATTGACTGACAGATGCTGTTAGATAAGATCAATAAATATTTGAGTTGAGAAATAATTTTAAATTTGTTAGAGAATTTTGCAGTCGTAAAAAATGTGAATATATACATATATAAATATATTTTCTGTTTACTTTAAACAATATTTATTACAAAAATTGAATTAACTGCACATAGTAAAGAATCTAGTGAATAAACTCATTTTATATATTGTATTAACAAGTAAATTTAATTTAACAAAATATACGCTCTCTATATTTTATTTAGAAACAGTTTTATTATTCGCAATTATAATTTTTTACTGAATAAAAATACAAATTAATTTCTCATATAAATATAATAGAACATAGATAAGAAGTCATACGTACATATACATACCTGCAAATACATTATTATTTTTTTATCCAACATTCTATTTTTACTCCCGACTGCTGCCAACCGCAGATTGGCAAAAAACGGAGGGAGTATGCGTTTCACCGAGCTCGGATCGGTTGTAGTCTTAGTTCTCGATAACTACAGCGTAGTTTGATATCATCTTTTGCTCATAAGTTTTTTATTAACCAAGAAAGTTTTACAGCGTATAATTATCGTTATTTATGCTGTTATTTAATTTTTTTTTACTTGCATAAAGTCACAAAAAATAAATGTGCCAGAACATTTGTTAGGGAAAATGTATTGAACAATTTTTTATTTTACAGTTTAGGCTGTTAATATAATAGATCTAGATTATATCTAGAATAAACTTATAAATGCAAATCACAGTATATTGTTTTATTTTTATGTTATGAAAAATTATTATTTGATATAAAATAAAATTTACAGTAATTTCACATTATATATATAGAATTTTTGTTTTTGGAATTGAATAGATAATATCGGAAACTAGAGCGCTATATTTTGGTTGCGTTTAAGCAGCAATATATATAAATATATATTACAGTATTATTTTTTTAATTTTGTAAAATTGTTAATATTACATATCATTGTTCTTTCTCTATTGATGCTATATGTATTTTGCTGTAATTTCTATTAATCTATACTAGAAATAAAAAATATATAATAAATACACGTCATATATATGGTTTTTTCTTGTAATTGCGACTTTATTATTAGATATCTTCTTTATTTATATGTTTATCAAAATTCATACAGTTTATTAAAATTCCATGTTAAACATATTGAATACTGGTAGTGAAGGCTTCATATATAAATGATATATGCTGATGATGGAACGATCGCCAATATGAGAATACTCCACCCGGATTGCAAATATTATAATAAAGATTTACTGCAGTTCTTAAAAGGTACGCATTATTTTGTATTTCGAGGATGAGGGTTTAATGTTTAGTATTATCTGTATTATTTCACACATTTCATTTGCAAATCTTTTTAAATGAAGAAAATATATATGTATATAATATGAAAGGAAATTATTAAAATTTTATATGTGGAGAATATATATATATATATATAATTTATTTATTTTTAATAAAAAGTGCATATATGTATATTTAACTCTGTACATAGAACCTTTAATTACAACTTAAAACTTAAAATTGTCTTATAGAAAAAAAAACTTGATTATAGTTAAAACATCCGAGAATCTTAAAAATAAATTTAAGTATATAACAATTATCTAATATTAATTATATACTTGTACACACATATGAGATTAAAGGAACAAAAGCGAAATATGTGCTTCTTTCAACATGTATAATCCGTTAAATTATGATTTTATACATTTACTTATTATATGCCAAAATATACTATTTATATGCCAAAAAATATAGCTTTTGTTAAAGAAAATATATTTAATATATTTAAAAGGAAAAAATGTATAATATTAAATTTAAATAAAGTTATAAATAAAAATCTTTTAATTAAAAAATATTTTGTAATAATTTAAATCAAATATTATATGTATAGTCATTATTTTTCATTTTCTTTTCAGAAATGAAAAGCCAGCAGAGACGTGTGTAAAAAATGAACTATCTGTACATGAATGTATGGATTCTGCGTTGGTTTCCATTTCCATTAAACAAGAAGAAAATATAAAGCAAGAGAAATATAATTTGTCTCACAAGGCTGTAAGTTTGGAACATGATTCTTCCGAGAACATTCAGAATCCATTAACGCAAGAGGAGTTTGAAGAAACTACAAATGAAGAAATTATTTGTCAAAGTAATTCGAATCTAAAAAAGCAATCTACCAATCAAACATTTTACGAGTGTAACATATGTACGAAGCTTTTTAGATCAAAGAATCTCTTTGAAGGTCATTTAGTGGCGCATAGTGACGCTCGACCCTATCAATGCGACGTTTGCGGCAAATCCTTCAAGAGGACCAATACTTTAGCGGTGCACAGACGAATCCATACTCACGAGAGAAACTTTGTATGCGACGTGTGCGGTCGCGCGTTCGTGCAAGCCTCTCAATTAGCTACTCATCACAAACGTCACTTCGAGAAGTATACGAGGCACTGCGAGATCTGCAACAAGGGCTTTTTTACAAACGCCGAGCTTCACGGGCATATGAATGTTAAGCACGGCGCTAAGGAGCACGTATGTACCGCCTGCGACAAGTCGTTTCCCAACAATCACACTCTGGTGCGTCATTTGAAGATCCACGATCCTAATTTCAAACCTGTGAAACATCAATGCGAATTCTGCGGCAAGACATTTGCTTACAAGAACTCGCTGGTGGTGCACGTTAAGTCGCACACTGGCGAAAATAAATACGATTGTCATCTGTGTGGTAAGTCCGTCTCGTCTAAGGGATCCCTTCAAGATCATCTACGTCTCCACGGCGGAGAAAAATCGTTGATCTGCGACGTATGCGGCAAAGCTTTTCACAAGAGAACAACGTTGGTTGTGCACAAGAGAACCCACACCGGCGAGAAGCCTTATTCGTGCGATACCTGTGGAAAATCCTTCACGCAACACTCGACCCTTGTTATACATAAACGATATCACACAGGTCAAAGACCATATCAGTGTAGTTATTGTAGTAAATCATTTGTATCTAAAGGATTACTAAACGCTCACAATAAAATACACATGGTTAACGTGATGGTCATGTAGCCAACATAGTCTTATGGTTCAAATCTTCCTATGGTTTAAATTTCTATTGTACTATGTCAATTGTGTCCTATGTTAGAGACACTATAACGTGGTGATATTATCAGACTTGTATGGATCCAAACATATTCTGTGAATTAAAACGAAGCGATATTAGTCGATTTCTTCTATTCTAAAGTCATCCGGATTGAGGGAATTTTTTCTTCCAACATATTTTTCTAAAATTTTTCCTCAGTCCCTATGCAATTATTCTAATGATACATGCGCAGAAAAAAAATATTGCGTGTTTTGTTCTTTACTCACTTTTTTATTCAAACGTGAGTAATAAAAGAGCAGCGCAAAAACAAACCTTAGATTAGAGGAAAACATAAAATAGAGACAATTAGTAATTGCATATAGGCATCTTGTAATTTAATACTATATTGTATAATAGTGTGTGTATATTTGTATGATTGATTACATATTTGATTTCAATCAAATGTTTTTTGGGGAATTATTATTGCTAACATATGTCATATTTGTAAATTAATTGTTCTTAAAAAATTGAAGATGTACAAAAAATAAATTGTTATAAAAAGTTAATGAATTTATGTAAAAGATGATTTAATGTGCAAAAAGAACTTTGTATCAAATGTTAATAAAATAATTTTTGAGTAAAAAAGTAACAGAAAAAATACGTAACATGTTTATTCTGTATACAGAATATTGCAATAAGAGGGGCAATAATTTTTTTTCGGATTAGTATGGAATATATTCCTGCATTATGTATTATTATAATGAATAAAAGCGTTGTTCAGAATTATATAACTATCTGAACCTATTTCATCGTATTGCTTTTTCTCTTTTACATTTCAAGTGTTTTTATATATATATATTTATATAGGTATACATGTATTAAATATTAATTATAGTACATCTTTTTTCATTAAGTATAGCAAAATAATGCTGATAATTTTTTTATCGAGTTTCCACTTTACATTACTGACAAAGCTTGTAAGTTTGGTCGGCAATTTTGCTTACAGGAATAAAATAATTTGCTAGGTAACGAGGCAATGAAAGAAAGATCGTCGCGACACAAAAAGGGTATTCGATACTGATATCCCCCTGAATTTTTCAATTCCAGGTACAACCAGCTACCATTTCCCGAAGAATATTACCCGATGGAAATGTTCTCTAAGCTTGACTTGGTGAAGAAGAATGGCGAGCCTGCCAAATCCACATTGAAGTGCCAGGAACCGGCGGACACGACTGATGAGGCTGTGGTTTCAACGAATCCTGAACAAAACGCTATAAAACAAGAGGTGAACGACGAGGATGACGACGACGATCTACCTTTGGCATATCACTGTAAGCTCTGCGGCGTCTTCTTTGCCTCGCAATCCTTGTTGGATAATCATGAGATCGAGCACAAAGGTAAGCGGAAGAATACATGCGCTCAATGCGGCCGGGTCTTCAGAACTGGTATGAGCCTTCGCAAGCACATGAAGATGCATTCGGTACGTAAAAGTGGTCGCAAAGGCAACTCCTCAGCAATGACCGGCCGTACTGCATCGTTGAAGAAGGTGAAGAAAGAAAAGTCCGAGCTAGAGTTTCTCTGCAAGACCTGTAACAAAGTTTTTCGGCACAAGAGCAACTATCAGAAGCACTTGTTGCGTCACACGGTAGGAGATCTCCCCTGCAAACACTGCCCCAAGAAATTTCGACTGTTTCGCGACCTAACGAGGCATGAGAAGACGCACTTCTTACCGAGTTACATGTGCAAAGAGTGCGATTACGAGACCACCGTTTTAGCGGCTCTGCACATTCATATGACACGACACATGGACAAAGCAGATCTTCCATTCAAGTGCAACGAATGCGACAAGCGTTTCCGGAAGAAGCTCGATCTTCAAGAGCACTATAACATTCATTCGGGCGAAAAGCCATTCGTTTGTCAACTCTGCAACAACGCCTTCTATCTTAGACGACAGCTTTCCGCACACTGTAGACGCACGCATCCCGAGCTGAAGGCCAACAAGGTGACCAGCACCGCTTGCGATATCTGCGGCCGCGTACTCGCCACAAAAAGGTCGCTCTTCCTACAACGCCTTCTGACAGCTTTCCGCACACTGTAGACGCACGCATCCCGAGCTGAAGGCCAACAAGGTGACCAGCACCGCTTGCGATATCTGCGATATCTGCCTCGCCACAAAAAGGTCGCTCTTCC